GGTGGATTATAAGGGGGGTTGTTTTTGGGTATAGTAGGGTTATATCTAGCTGGAGGTAGTCCAGAATTCAAGGTATAATCTAAAGAGAGATCAAATAAATAATAAGCGAAAAAGATTAGACGAATAATAATATAGAACTGTAATAATAAAGGTAAAGATCTAAACATGCTTCAAATGAACATAATAGTATAGTATAAACCATTTTCTACACATTCACTATATATAAAATAAAGTATAGCAAAAGATATCAAGATAAATATTATACATGTACAAGTAATAAAAATCAAAGGTAATAATCAGAAAATATTTATTATTGTATTAGCAATTAAATATATTGAAAATAAGCTTACTCCGAATATTAAGAACCCCAGTAATAAATCGAAATGAAAAGAAATAATCATACTACGTCTACAAAATGTCAATATAAAATGGATGATTCTAAACCCAAATGATGATTTTCTGTTGCGTGATATGCAAGTACTCGTCACAAACCCACCGCTATGAAGGCTGTACCTATCATAACATGAAGCCCATGAAAGCCTGTACCAAAATAAAAACAAGATCCAAAGGCACCGTCACTTATAGTAAAAGAAGAAACAGTGTATTCTACACCTTGGAAACCTGTGAATATTACAGCTAAGATTACTGTAGCCACTAAACCATATAAAGATCCACGTCTATTTCCATTTATTAAAGAATGATGAGCGTACGTTACTGTAACACCTGATGATAACAGTATAACTGTATTAAGTAAAGGTAATTCAAAAGGGTTAATTGCTTCTATACCCATAGGTGGTCATTGAGCTCCTAATTCTACAGTAGGAGATAAGGCACTATGGAAAAAGGCTCAAAATATAGCTAAAAAGAATAATGCTTCTGAAACTATAAATAATGCTACACCCATATTTAAACCTCTTTGTACAGCTAATGTATGGTTACCTAAAAATGTACCTTCACTTATAACATCCCTTCATCATAATGACATTGAATAAATAAGTGTTACAAAAGCTAAAGATAAAAAGAGTTCTGCATTATTAAAACCGTGCATTGTTAATACACCACTAGTTGTTAATGTTAATAATGTAATACAAGTAAATAAAGGCCAAGGAGACGGCGATACTAAATGAAAAGGATGAGCTTGAAAATTACTTCTCGTTAGTTTAGTCATTTACAGTTATAAATACATAAAATTATGTCTTTTAATATATCTAAAGTTTTTTATTAGAAAAATATATTAATTTTTGCATACCAGAGGTATATAATTTTGGCGTAATATATAAATATATACATTAAGGATTAAGGAATAGGTGACTTGAACACCTAACCTACCGTGTGTAAAACGGTTGCTCTACCATTAAGCTAATCCCTTTATAAATTCTTATTATACTTACGGGTTAGATCGGCCTCGAACCGACACTTACTTTCTTGACAAGAAAATTTCATACCAATTAGAACACTAACCCTTATTAAAGTATAACTTATGTTATTAGTATAACATTATTATAATATATATTACAATAAAAATAAATATATAATTAATTAAAGTCATAAAAAAAAGGTATCCCTATATTAATTTTTTTGTTTTATTGTAATAACGATAGCACCAACCATAGCCAATAATAATATAATAGAAGTTAATATTAATCATATACTATAACTAGTATACATAATATTACCTATGCTAGATATATGACTAGCTTCGGCTAAATTACTGTCTCATATTTTACTAGTAACGAATGATATTTGACCGTTGTCTAACTCAGCACCATTTATTTTAAAAAATTTATTTAAACTATCACTATAATTATTATATCAAATATCGTTTAAAGTATTGTTTAAATCAACTGTATAACTATTAAAAGAGGCAAGACTATAAGGCAATATTTGATATAAAGGATAGTTAAATGCTATGGTAATAAATATAGCTAAAGGTATACTATTACTAGTATTACTTAATAGTTCACTTATTCTAACATTAATTAACATTAATATAAATAAAAATAAAATAGATACAGCACCAACATATACTAATAAATAAGAAAGACCAATAAAATTTAAACCCAATATCATTAGGTAACTAGCTATACTTAAAAATAAACCTATTAAAAATAAAACAGAAACAACAGGATTTTTACTAATAATAACTAATATTCCACATAGAATAGCAGCTAATGATATGATATCTAATATCTCTGATCTATAACCATTCGTGAAAGTTTCATTTAAAATATAAAGACTGTTCATGTTTAAAATAGATAAAAACCTCATTATATTTAACTATAATAAAAGAAATAACTACCTTTGTTATAAACAATTTATTTATAACAAAGTGAGAGGAAAGAGTAGTTAAATAAAAATAAAGACGTGTATAAGACTTGAACTTATATACTTGTGGCCGAAACACAGAACTTTACCATTAAGCCAACACGCCGTACATATTCTTAGTACCTAGCCCTTAAAGTGAATTGAACACCTATCGGAATATTAACAGTATTCCGCTCTACCATTGAGCTATAAAGGCATAATGTTACCTATATAGATAAAGAATTAGGAAGAAAAGGACTCGAACCTTCGACAGCATATTGCTATTGAGTTTACAGCTCAACCCGTCATACCAACAAACGGAACCTTCCTATATAAAATAAAATCTTATAGTCCTGAAGGGTAAAACTATAAGGATATAATATATTGTATATAATATACATGTATTGTTAATATCAATAAATCCCGTGCAATTTCCACTACACGAACCGTATTTCGACTTAACACCAATTAAAGTCACGCATACGAAAATCTTCCATAAAAATAACTAGAACTAAATAACTAGAGTAAGAATAAATGAAAAACCAAACTTATTGCACACACTTCTTTCGGCGCCTGACGAGTAGTTAGTACCTATCTGAGATTAAATCCACCGTGACGTGGTGATTCACGATTACTAGTAATTCCTTATTCATGCAGTCGAATTTCAGACTACAATCCTTGTTATATCCTACTTTATTAGATTAGCTCCAATTCACATTTTTGCATCATTTTGTATAGGAATATGTGGCACGTCTATCGCCCACAACATTTAGGCCATGATGACTTGTCTTGGTCCCTGTTATCATATCCGATGTGATGGTGAACTGCTTTATTTAGATTAGATCGCAAATAAAGCAAGGGTTTCCGTTAATTTAATGGAATTAACCAATATCTCACGACATTAACTGAAGACAGCCGTGCAACGCTTGTAATATATTCGCTACTTCTTATTATAATATAAGATTTCCTTAATATAATATTCAAGTTGTGGTAAGGTTTTTCGCGTAACTACGAATTAAATAACATACTTCACTACTGGTTTCAGAAACGGTCTAATGATTTCAGTTCCTGTGTTGCCACATTACTCTTGAGGTGAAATGCTTACACTTTCATTTATAGACTAAAAAATTTATCTAACCTATGGCATTCATCATTATCTGCTTGGACTACTAGGGTATCTAATCCTGTTCGCGACCCAAGCCTTCGTCCCTCAACGTCAGTTATTAGATAAAAGGTTGCTTTCGCCTTTACCTGTCCTCATGGTATCAAAGAATTTCAACTCTACTCCACAAATACTCACCTTCTCATATATAACTCTAGTATAACCGTTTCCTATTAAAGACTAATTATACCGTCTAGGTACCCTTTAAACCTACTAAAGATGAATAACACTAGTCTTCTACGTATTACCGCGACTGCTGGCACGTAATTTGGTCAAGACACATAGACAGGAAATAGTCATGATCAGTATCCTATCTAGAACTTTATTCGATAAAATCGATGTTACTTTGTCCACTGAAGTATTACTTCGACGCACCTTGCGATGAGTGGTAAATTAATTGATCCCATCGGCGTTAAAAAAAAATCAAAGTGAATAATCTCTTATATACAAAAATATAAATTTTGTATATATTTAATTAAACAGCCAAAAATAACTAGCCGAAGCTATACATTCCCCCAAGTTGCTGGTTCAGCCGTTAGGCTATTGACCAATATTCCCCACTGCTGTACTATACGTATTGGGGTTTTTTCAGACCCAATGTGATCGATCGACCTCTCAGCCTCGACTACGGAATTTTAAGCTAGTTAAATCATTACTTTAACTACTACCTATCCGAAACATTAATTGTCCTCTTAAAGCGGAAGTTTAGTTCCTTTCGTTGGATATTATAAGGTATTTGTAAACCTTACTCTAAGGCAGCCAAAATGTTATATACTCACCTGTACACCACTTCTAATGAAATAAATGAAACAAATCATTAATTAAAATAGACGTTCGATTAGCATGTGTCAAGCACTTGGACAGCGTTCATTCAGAGCCATCATCAAACTCAACATATAGGTATAGGAAATATAAATTTTTACTATTTTAAAAATTACATATCTATACCATTACTAATACATCTTGACTAAATTTATAAGAAAAATTTTTTTATTAATTTTCTTATAAATTTATTATTTTTTGGATACTTTTAAGCCGGATCCTGTTATAGTTATTAGTCTATATTAAGGCCTAACGTCAAGCTTGCGATCTCATTAATACTATTTTACTGTATAAACTTTTTTTACCTATATTTGTGTTTAAAAAAAATTTTTTTATATTTGTTTATTGTTTTCTATACATTTACCTATAGTTTTTTAAACTATAGAAAGATATTAAATATTTTCTATAAAACACTCAAGTTTTTACCCAACACTCATTTTTTAGGTGTTGACATTTAATAAGCACCGGACTTTCCTATACTAGATATAGTACTTGTACTATTAGTATCACAAAAAAAAAATACCTTATTATTTATCTTGCTTCGTTAACACAGATTAAAAAGTGAAAAACAAGGATGAATTATATTATTAGTATATTATATATTAATGTAAGTCTAAAGCATCTTTAACATAACTACTAGTTAAAACTACAAACACTTGAGCTTGTATAAAGGCAATACCTAATTCTAAACCTGAAAAGGCTATTA